CAAAGAAGACAGATCTGGATGACAGAACAGAGAGTCAGCAGGAACGAGTTGTTAAAAAAGGAACAAACTCTATTCACACTCCTTCAGTTAATCCTCCAGATGGACCAGAGTACTACAAAATAAAAGAAAAGAAAAGCTGCACAAACAAATTCCAAAGAAACGGAAACTTTTCTTGGTGTTAAATTGTGTCTTCAGTCCCAGTGTGGAGCAAGAAGAGGAAGAGGAGGATCTGTGGACAAATAAGGAGGAGAAGAAGAACAATTTCCCGCCAAATTCGTCTCCACCGAGGTTTGAAAGCAGAGGTCGTCTTTCACCAGAGACTCCTCTTCGTCTCCCTTCTGTCACTTTTCTCTCTCCTCTCTCCAGTTTTCAGGTTCTCACTCCTCCCATTCTTCTTCCTCCTCCTCCTCCTCCTCCTCCTCCTCCTTTAGGGATTAGATCAGCGACACTCAGCTCTCAGAGACATTCCTGAGATACCTGTTAGTTTGTAATTCATAGGCGTTCGGTGGATTCAACATGTTTTATATCAACACATTCAATTCTCTTGCTGGATGTCAGACGTCTCGAGAGGACGAATCTAAATGTCTAGATGCTTTTACTTTGTAGAAAGTGTCTTCACTAATAGATGTTATTTAGTTTAGTAGACGGAGAACTAAACTAGATTAGATTTAAACAGGAACCGCTTCCTGTTTCAGTGTCAAGAGTTTCACAATAAAAGCAGCCTTGAACACTTCAGACTTCACAGTAGAAACAGAAGGTTAGTGTAGAGTTACTGTTGGAACATCAGCTGAACTCATCACACTTTAAACATCAACAGGATTCTCTCATGTGACACCGTGAATCATCAGGGGTCTGAATTAAACCGTTTTATTTGTTAGAAGAGAAGAAGAACATCAATAAAACAGCTGATTATGAACTTTAAATCATTTGGGCTGCAAGTGGACGTAACTAACGAAGTATTTCACCATCTTTTATTAAACCTAACTTAGTAGTTTTGTTTCCTAATCATAACTAAGTTGTTTTCTGTGAATACAGAAGTTTATTTTGAAAAGACTATTCATGTAACGAGATGAAATTGATCTGGACTTTCGTAGGAAAACGTTTTCATAAGGTATCATACGAATAATACGAGGATACATAGAAATAGATCGACATTCCACGTGTCACGATAAAACATTTTAGACTTGAACAAAATTGAAGCAGTAATGTTTGCATAAAACATCTTGGTTTGGCATAAAATAAGTACGTTAAAACAACGTAAAACATAAAAAATCGTAACAAACGTACAGAGACAAACACTTCGGGACTCGAACACCGGTCTCCTAGTTGAACGTCCTGTTTGTTTGACGCGTCAATTAGAAGGTTTTTAAATTGTACGTAACTTTCTCTGATAGCTTTACGCAGCTAGCAGCACAGACGACATGGACGATACTGATCCAGGATCAGCTCAAGGTGCCTCCCTTTGAGTCAAACATGCAGAGATTTAAATTTACTGGAAGCTGCTGAAATCTTTGAGTCACACGAGGAAAGTTGTTTGTTGTAACGATGATGTCATCTGAAACAACAGACGCTCAATCAGCTGATAGGAGACGCGTTTCTCTTTCTGTTCACCCAAATGTCTCGTTTTGGTTCATTTGTTCACGTTTGAAGATTTAATTCTGCCGCAAATGATCATCACATATAATTCAGATTAATGGAGGATAACAGTGTCAGAATAATTACTTTGAATTCAATCTTTTTATAATTATTCAGAGAAAGAGCAGCGTTATTTCTGTCTCTTACGATGAACCACTGATCTGCAAAAGCAAATGTTTTTGTGGAAATTGTCATTTTATGCTCTTTAATGAATGTTTGTCAACCGTTGACTTTCAATGCCTCTTCATTGTTTCCCTCCTCATCATTACTCAGTTCCACTGAAGCCTGACTCACTCTGATGGTTCACACATACACACACACACACACACACACTTTATATGATCACACTGATTAAAGCGGCTGAGAGGTAATGCTTCATAATTGACATATAAAAGGCTAATGTCTTTACAACGTACCCTTAAATTCTGATAAGAAACGCAACATGTCAGAGAAACGTGTCAGCATGTTTAAATCAAAGGAGAACAGATTCATCGCTTTAATTTGTGCTTTTTGTTTGGCTGAAGCTGTCTCTCATTAATACGAGACGTGATGTGTTCCTGAGTTTCATGTGAAGCGCAGGATGAAGGAAGACAGGAAGACGAAGGAAGGAAGACAGAAGAGCGACAGAACAAACGTAACGATGAGACCGGACACGTGAGTCACGTCTCTGTCATCAACACAGAGAGGAAGTCTGTTCGGTTTACTGGAACTATCAGCAGATTTAGTTTTTAGCACGACGATGGTTCCGCTGGTCCAACTTTGGTTCAAACATCTCAACAACATCGTTCATGTTACAACATTTAATCACTTCCTGTTCAAAAAAACAAGATGGCTAACTCGAGGCTTGAACACATCAGTCCACAAACCAATGAGTGACGTTGTGACGACTGCGTCCACTTCCTGTATTCAGTCTATGCTGATAATTAGCACGTTAGCATGCTAGCACGTAAACATGATGAATCTGACGTTAGCATTGAGCTCAAAGCAACACGTCTACGGCGGTTGTTACATCACTCATCAGAGGAGGAAGGAGCACTCAGATCATTGACTTCAGTAGAAGTACTAATACCACAACTTAGAAGCACTGTTACACTGTAAAGTCCTGCATTTAAAAAGTTACTCAGTAAAATCAAAAAGTATTATCGTCAAATATACTTAAAGAGGTCCACTGTGAAACATTTATAGGGATTCATCAGCAGAAATGGAATATAAGTATGTTTTTAGTGTCTAATCACCTGAGAATAACAGTTCTGTTTTCGTTATATTTCTTAGTTTTCCACATCATTATTTTTTATTACAGATAATTATTTTTGCGCATCCTGCACATTTTAAAAGTTATATTCTCCATATTTTTATAGTATTTATTTATATTTGTAATGTACATTTTCCGACTACATACAGTATATATGTTTCTTGACTTTTGTACTCGACAGTATTTTGCTTTAATTTATTTTGCAAAATTTAAACAATAAAATAAACAAACAGAGATAAATAATATCACAGAGCAGGAAGATATTACAGAGAAAATAACATGAATATGCATAAGGTATGACTTATTATTTATTTGCTCTTATTATTTATTGCTGCGCCAATAATCTGAACCTGTAAAGTAACAAATGTAAAAGCAGTAAAAAAGTAGCCGTAAAATGGAAATACTCAAAATAAGTACAAGTACTGCAAAAGTGTACTCAAGTACAGCACTTGAGTACACTGTTTAGTTATATTCTAACTAATTTGACATCATGTCGTTGTTACACAAACGCTTTTTTTTTTTTTACCTCTCATATTTTCACTAACTGTGTTTTTTTAAAGATATAATAGTAAATCTTTGTGTTTTGTGTCGATCAACACGAGTTCCCATCAAACCAGAGACAACAGAGAGTAACAGTCATAATATAAAGTAATAACAATGAAACTCTTCTTACCTCCACGCAGCTCCGGAGACGAGCTGCAGAACTCAGGGTTCAAAGTTGAGATCAAAGTCGAATTCAAACCAAAACAGAAACTTGAGTCTCAAAAGATTAAATACCTGCAGAGCACGAGCTCGCTGATAACGTTCACAGCAGTTCAGTTATAAAACACAGACACAGATAGTGATTGTAGAGGACGGACGTGTAGCTACACGTGGAACAAGTGTTCTACCGCTGCTGGTGCTTAATGAGCTGTTACATTAAAACCTGTTTATGTAAGAAAAAGTCAAAGTTGTGTAGAATGTTTACTGAGGTAATAAATCAAGAGAGAAGTAGAGTCATTTTCTCATAGACTTCTATACAACCAGAGGAGTCGCCCCCTGGTGGACATTAGAGAGAATGCAGCTTTAACAGACAAAACCCACTAACAGCAGACCTCAGAGCAGCTTCTGTCTTCTGGCTGTGAAACTCAAAAATTCATCCCCCACATATAATATAGTTCTTTTATTATGTAGTAAAATAAGACTAAAATGTGCATTTCGTTGAGGAAGCCTGCTGTTTAATGACAATAAAATAACCTTGTAAAGTGTGCAATCTTAAGTGTCACATGATGTAACGGAGCAACATTTAACATCCATTATTACAACATAAAATATGACAACACAACACAACACACCACAACACAACACAACAACACACTACAACACAACACAACAACACACCACAACAACACAACACACCACAACACAACACAACAACACACTACAACACAACACAACAACACACTACAACACAACACAACAACACACTACAACACAACACAACAACACAACACACCAGTCACAGAGCAGAGGAGACAGGAATGTCTCTGGTTTTCTTCACCTCCCATGAAGCTCGTCTGTCACAGCGATGATGTGAAACAGATCCTCTGACGTCCGTCCTGCTTCGCACACAGCTGGACGTTGTTCAACTAATGACGTGAGACTGGATCTCATTTAGAAGCTTCAGAACTAAAGAGGTCATTATAAATATGAACAAATGGCTTTTAGAAAGTTTATTGTTTCATTCCACTTCACAATTCAGATTCATTTTATGTTGGTTCGTTACATCAAAACTCAATAAAAACACATTTTACTTTCAGGCTGCTGCAACAAAAGAAACCAATAAACATGTATTGAAATAAAAAGCAGACGTCATTTTGATTTTGCACCACATCCTTTATTCAACGTCTCACTCCGAGGGTTCTGGATCAACGTTTACTTTATATTTACCAAAAACAACACTTAGTTCTCTCCGCTCTGTCTCCGGCGCCCCGACAGGAACATCTCTTATCTTTAATATCTTAACATTTTACAGTATTATTTTTTGTTTTGTTCATTTTTAATTTACAGAATCGGGAGGAAAATGTGATTTTAAATAATAATAATATAAAAAATTGGGTTTAAGTTTTGAAAATATAATTTCCATCTTCATCACAAGTTCATATTTTAAATACTTCCCTCCACTTAAATGTTCCTTTCATTTTTCCATCACTGGAAGTATTTTATAACAGAGAATTAAATTTGTGTGAAAATTAAATGTAAATCATTTTAAGGGTTATTTTCTGCTTTCTTATCTTTTTTTTTAGAATTGTTGTTTTTGTAAATAATTTTAAATAATCTGAGAATGTTTTTATCGACCCAATAAAACGTCACGTTATGAACGACTCATCAGCTGTTATCCTGATATTAAAGACGCGCTGACGCAGCGTTTTCCACCTGATTCACTTTCTCTACAGTCTGAAGTTTCTGCAGGACGCCGACGACAAGAAGGAGTTGAAATCAACGTGAGAACAAACGTTAACGACACAGAACATCTGGTCTGAAGTCACAGAGAGTTCACCAGACGCGTCGTCTTCACACAAAGCTGATACACGTCGTCACTTTAGAGATAATAAGAACAAAGAGAACGAGAATAACTTCATAAATAAACAACACAATAGAAGAAGAATACAAAGGTTAAAAGGATTATTAATAACCAACTTTAAACACTGGCCTCAGAAAGACACGACGTTCAACAGAATATGAAAAGAAAAATGGAAAAACAGAAATAATAACAATACATTAAGTATCTGTGACTGCAAACAGCAGCGACCTCTGACCTTCTGTGTTTACAGGACGTTCTTCAGCTCATTAAACTCAGGTGTAACAGTCGATTTAGAGTTCGTCCTCCCAGAACTCATCACATCCTGCTGACATTCAGGGTTCCAGCTCTGACTCACTCATTTCTTTACTTTACTTTTTTTTACAATATTAGGATCTTTCAAAACAATCGTATTGAAAGGTCATGAACCCAGACTGAGAAATAGGAGCCGTGTGCAGATAGAAGTCGTGTGTTTGATTCTAACCAGCTTTCCAGAAGCGTTAATATTTGAACCCTACGTGACTACCTTTACATGCACAAATTAATATTCCACTATTATTCCCAATATGACAATATTTTGGATTTGATGCAAAAAACATATTCTGTTTATATATTCTGAATTAGTTCTTATTTTTCAGAGTAAAACATGTGTGACGTGTTGATATTGTTCAGGGTCTGGGATCATTCTTTGGACATATATACATATATATATATACACATATACATATATATATATATATACTCATATACACATATATGTGTAGTCTATATATATATATATATATGTATGCACGCCGTATATACACAACTAGCCAACAGTTAGTAGAGCTGGAGTAGAGATGATGTCCAGAAGAACAGAAGGAGAAACATCATGAAGGACTTGGAGATCAACAGGTTTCTGGATATGAACAAATATCTTTTAGAGAAGCTGTTTGAAGGACTGAAGGAGGTCCAACATGTCCTCCACCTCTGGAACACGCTGAGAGAACATCTGTTAGCTCCTGATGTTCACATTGACATGTTTAGACGAGATAAACGACGTGTTAGAGCATCGATCGTTAATCTGAATATGAACGGCTGAAGGATTATTAGTGGAATATTAATTTTCATCAGCCATGTAAATAGATTAACAGGAATATTGTCTTTTTCAGACTAAAATCAAAAGCCAGAATATTTGGTTCATGTTAACGTAGACTACATTCATTACGTCCCTCAGATGTGGTCTTATTCTCTCTTGCTTTGCTGTTTGAGGAAGATCATTTTCAACATGGTGACCTCATAAAGTTTGTCTGGTCCACTGAAACCAGCAGTTACACAACGACTTCTACCGTTTTACTTTTTCATTCCCTTTTTCTTTTCTCTCGTAATGCCACGAAAAAGAAAAAAAGGTCTCGTGTCTTTCTTTCACATCCTGTTACAGTTCTGAGAAAGAGTCGAAGGAATGTGTGAAAGTCCATTGATGCTAATTCTCCTGGTGGACTGACCTGGTCCCGGTCCCCCTGGTCCCCCCGGTCCGGCTCCACCCTGCAGGGTTTGGGTCAGGCTAACTTGGGCGGTGCTGAAGGAGGTTATCCGGCCGCTTCCAGCGATCTGGAGGTTGACCGTGGTGGCATAACTGGTCTTCTGGTTCTTGGTCGGAGACAAAAGGGCGAAGGGTAGCGGGGATGCGCTCGGGGGCTCGGGGGGAGGGATTGAGGGTGGAGGAGGCGTTGAGGATTGGTAGCGGTGGTGGTGCTGGTAGGGGGCAGGTGAAGGGGAGGCAGACAGGAGCCTGCACGAGGAGGAGGAGGGTTGGGCAACGTAGGCGCAGATTAGCTGGCTGCGACAATCCCCCTCCTGGACCTCCGGGTCCCCCCACTCGGCCTGGCTGTCCGATGACACCGGAGAGGATAGGAGGGTGTGGGGGAGAGAGGAGAGAGGGGGAGGAGGAGAGGAAGAGGTGGTGGAGAAAGCGGCACTGAGGACATTGCTTTCCCTGTATTTGTTTGAAAGCTCTCGGACATCCGGCCAGGGCACGCTGGTGAAGTGCTGCCCACCGAGGGCGGCGCCCGTCCCGGGTGTGAGCTGGGCGGGCGAGAGCGGGGATCGAAGCCCAGCTCGAGGGCTGAGGCAGGACGGCGAGCCGCCGTACGAGGACCACCCGCTCCTCGGACTGGTCGGACAGGACTCATGCCGGTCGAAGAGGCCTCGGCCGCTGACACTGAAACCGAGGGACCTGCTGCTGCCGTCGGCCCAAAAACGGCGAGCTCCACTGGGGTTGCTCCTGGCGGGGCTGGGGGGTCTGTCGGCCATGATGGAGGAGGAGTGAGACCTCCGGAGGGTTTGGGAGGGTGCAGGAGGGTACAAAGAAGAAGCGGGGAAAGAAGCGTTCTCCAGTGTCGGCAATTCTAGTGAGGAAGGAAAGGAAGGCAAGGGAGTAGAGGAGGAGGACGCATATTTGGGGTTTCTAGGTTGAGGCGCCGCCACGTTATTGGTCCAAACGTTCACCGACACGCCAATGGGAGGCGGGGAGAGGATCCGAGGGCTGAGACACGAAGAGGACTGCCCGAACGCTGACCTGGGCAGCTCCAAAGTGAGGCCTAGCAGGTTGTGGGAACTCGCGCCTCGTGCACTCCGAGGGTGGGGGGGCTTGTTCGCCATGGGGGAGGTGTAATTATGTTGGAGAGGTGGGGAGCAAAGGCGGGTAAAAGAGGCCGGGGTCGGAGAGGGTTGGGACGACGGGGATTGAACTCGTGAGCTGGGTTCAGACGCGGAGAAAGGCCGAGCCACGCGGTTGTGTGACCCGGACCAGAGAGGATCCGGAGTTCGTGGGGTCACCGTGGCGTTGGGGCTACCGTTAGCTAGTGGCTTGTTGCCAATCACCGGGTTTATAGCAGCTAAGCTAACGTTATTGTTGTTGTTGTTTGCGTTGGAGTCAGTTTTGGAGTGGAGGAAAGAGGGACGAGGGGAAGGAGAAGAAGGTAGACGACGGGTCATGGATGGGGAAGGGGAGCATTGGGAAAGAGGAAGAGGAGGAGAAGGAGACGGCATGAGAGACTGAGAAGGACAAGAGGACCAGAGAGAGGACAGGGGACCACGGGGATGTTGGTACCCGTCTTTGGTGCACCCTAGCTGGGCGTACGCGGGCGCGCTGGAGCCCTGCTGACCCGGAGGAGGTGTAGGTGATGGGGAGCGCCGGCGCAGATGAGAGGACGGCAAGGAAGCTGCAGAGGCGGGGCTTTGGTTTGTGGGCGGGGCTTGTTGCAGGGCACTGTTCTTTTTCGCCATGCTCTGGCTGATGGACTGGCTAATACAGGAGGCGGCTAAGGATCTGGTGAACACAGAGGAGGAAGGAGCAACGGGGGAGGAGCGCAGCGAAGAAGAAGACGATGACGGCGTAGGTGAGGAAGGTGGAGCTGCTTGCATGGAGGAAGATCTCCCAGAGGAAGATGGAGTGGGAGAGAAACAGGGAAGAGCCCTGGAGACATTGCTCAGGGAGGTGTCTTGAGCGGTGGGAGAAGATGCTGGAACAACCCTGAACGGTGAGGAGCAGGGAGGTGCTTGGACAGAAGAGGAGGAGGATGAAGGGAGGGCTCTAACAGGGGAGGGGGAGCGGTGCCTGAAGCTGGGTCTGAAGGCTGAGGAGTGGGCCGTGGTGAGGTCCGAGTTCTGTCCAGGGGGGGCATCGGTTGGGGGCGGTCTCTCCACCAGGTTCTCCAAGGAGGGTCTGGAAGGTGAGCGGCTGGTGGTGGGGGATCGTGAGTCCTGGTGGTTTGGCTCCCTGGAACTGACAGAGAAGCACAGATTAGGATGGTTAAAGCAACGACCAGTAGCTCCCACAAATTACACTACTTTGTTGTCTTAATTTGTTGTTGTTTTTAGTTCATTACTGGAGCACTTATGGCAGAAAAGATTAGAACAACATCGGAAAAGGAAGCGTGGGGATGTAGACCTTGAGACGACCCCTTAGCCAGACCTGCCAGACCAAATGACCCGGATGGAAGCTAAGCTAACCCAGCTAGGGACTTAAGGCTACTCCACTACCCAGCATGCTCCTGGTGTTTGGTTACAGGAAGATAAGATGGATGAAATAAGATTTCAGGCAAACTCAGCAACGGGAGGTCGATGACTGTTGAGCTCACATCTTTACGGAGACCTGGATCCACCTGGAACCAGTGAGCGAAATGCTTTGATTGACACTTCAGTCCCCTGAAAACCTCGATAGCAAAAATTTTGGTATCTCTAAAATCATACAACAATTATTTGTCCCTAAAATGTCTTTAGAAAACTGTACGTAAAGCTGAATATCAGAGCATCGGCATGTGAAGCAGACATTTCCTCTGCTGGTTGGCTGGTTTCTTAAACAACTTGAAAAATTCTGTTTTATTTTAATTTAGTAAAAAAAGTTTTTACCACTTCAGTTAAGATCCAGAAAAATACAAGAAAGATGTAGAGATTTAGTTTTTTTAGGACAAAAATAACTGAAAGGACAGAGGAATCATAAACATAATCATTGCAGCTAAATCCAAAACAAAAGCTTTCTTAGTTGACGAGACACATTGCGGTTGAGCAAAATGTCTTCGGTTGTTTAAATCTCAGTGGGTGAATAAAAAAACAATCTGAATCAGTTCCTGTGAGAAACAATGTCAAAGTTTTTCTTTGGTATTTAGTTTCAGTTCCAAGAAATGTTGTAAACTAATCTCTAAACGGGAAGAAGCTGAGAATTCTGTGGGAGTTTGAGAGGTGGAAGGGACTAAAAATGAGTAATTCCTGGGGCCTCGTAGTTTATGGAAAGTAGTTGGTTGGGTTTTGTTCTACATGTGAGAGTTGGAAAAACAGAAAGAGAGACTGAACTCTCGAGCTGGCAAGAAGATGATGTTAACATCTGGAAAACATTCTTTATCCTCAGATTTAAAAAAACTCTTCCAAACCTTTAACAAGGAACAAACGGATTGATGAGCTCACAGTTCTATCACACACTTCATAACTCTACATGATGTAACGGACCGTTGCTGATCCGTAGCCTACTGATCCCCCTCACAGTTTAACGTTCACCATCACACTGCAAGTAAAGTTTAACGTTAACCATCACAGTGTAAATAAAGTGTTACTGACTCAGTAGAACATGTGTTTCTAGTCTCTGGTCTCTGATCATGTTTCATTGTAAACAACCAATCAGTGTTTAAAGCAACAGGAGGAGAGCTAGTAACTTTAGCAGCACCGCTAACGGCTAACCAACAGGAGGAGAGCTAGTAACG